TGCTGAACTTCCCTATGCATTCATGAGCAACTCCTGGAAATGTGGCTGATCCTAGAGAAAAAAAGCAAATTCTGGAGAAATAATTTTTAAAAAATACCATTGGTGTTGAATATCCAAGACAAGGTTTAGTTTTGCTCACTCCAGTTCCTCAACTGGAAGATGGAATGATGCAGGTGACTCCTGCCCTTGCAGCCTCAGATAAGTTTGTGCATGTTTCAAAGGTCTGCAGAATGGACAACCCTATGTCTGCTCACACAGACGTGCATGTGTGGTGTTAGCCATCAAAAAACCCCTGTGAAGAGCTGCAGATCTTTGACACAGAAGATAATGTTACTCTTAGGTAAATACATTGATTTCAAGAATACCATGACAGAGAAATCTCAGAAGAAATTATTTCTCCTTGTCCAATACATAAACTTGCTTTTCCCTTCAGACTATACGACTGTCAACAGTCTGTATACAAGAAGATAACCCCATCTGAAAGAAATCTTTTATTTATTCAGGATTATTTGTTATATTTTAAAGTTTGCCTCCTACTGTCTTCTGACAAGTACAGAATTAGCACTGTTTGAAAAAGCTTCTAGGAAACAGTATATTTGGTATAGTGATTTGCTGGCTAATCAGCATTCTCTCTTGCTCCACCACATCCAGTCTAAAGAAGCGATTTATTTGTGTGTCTGAAGATGAAATGCAAATCTTCAGTAATTGCATTCAAACAGCTGTGTAGTATAAACTTATGAAACCACTCCATTCTACTGTCAGCTAAAATTTACCCTCCTATAGATTTATCAGCATAACACAAAGTAATTACTTTGTCACATCTAGTGTTTGGGAACATGAGGAGAAGGTCATTTGAAAAGCCCTAGCAGGAGATTAGAAAAAAAGATGCATGTGTGACCTGCTCTGATAGTGATTTTACCATTAAATTCACTGATAGCAGAATTAGAACAGAATTATGTATTATGAATGTGACCTAACACCTCTTAGGTGTTTAGATATAACAAAAAAAAATAATAAAATAAAGGTAGTCAGAAAAAGGATTTCCAATGTTTGGATAAATATTTATATTTTTTTAATCTGTACTTTATATGCTTATAATGTGATCTCTACAGTCAGGAGCAAAATGGAGTATGACACTTGTGGAGAAAATGGAAGATACGGTTTCACAGAGCTACTTGTTCTGCTGCAGCACTAATTTTCCTACAGCAAAAAGAAATGTTTCAATGTTTTCTAAAAAAAAAAATTAAAAATGCATTTAAAAAAAAATCACAAAAAAATCAATCCAGTATCTCTCTGAAAGGTGAACAGATGTAGGAGGAAAGAAAAAAAAAATTAAAAATGCATTTAAAAAAAAAATCATTAAAAAATCAATCCAGTATCTCTATGAAAGGTGAACAGATGTAGAAGGAAAGGAGTTCAATACAGAAACTTAATGCCTGACTCCTGTTGTCACTGCCAGTTGAAGATGTTCTGTAGAAACAGGTTAATGGGACATAAAAATCTCATTTACATGTAATTCAATTACAGTACAAACTGACTGAATCCTTTTCTGCTTTGAACCTTAACTTTTTAGAATAGGTCTAAAATCAGGAAAGATGTGCTGAAGGTTAAGCATGAAAGAGCTTTTGTGACACAGGTTAAAAATTTGCCTAAATGTTTAATTTAATGTGCAAACAAAATTGGGGATTCTTTCCACAGCTGGTATCTTGCCTGGAGAAACTCTCTACCTAGGCAATTTGCTGCGTCCCTTTAAAATACTAGGTTATAACAGCATCATTTATATGGTTACATAGGAATCACCATTCAGGTTATGAAACTCCCTCAATCTTTTGTGGATGGGTCTCCTCAATTTACCTTGGCTCCTAATATCACCCTAGAAAAGCCCAAAACTTCTCTGCAGTAGAAGAATCCTGTTGTCAGATCCTAAAAGGATCTTGAGGGATGGTATCATACAATTTTAATAACAAAATACTGTAATTATGTGCTTTTCTTTATCAGTTGCATTTTCAGGCCTCGGCTTTACCACCTTCTACTTAGCTGGGAAGTTGCACTGCTTCACGGAAATTGGCCGGGGGAAGAGCTGGCGGCTTTGTGCGGCTATTCTCCCACTCTACTGTGCCATGATGATTGCCCTGTCACGAATGTGTGATTACAAACATCACTGGCAAGGTGAGCCATGGGGATACC